CAAAAGAGTACCGGGTTCTTGTCCATCCTGCAGCCGAAGCTTCGTGTTACTTCTGCTCTCTTTTCTTTCCAGCACAATTTCAAAGGGTGCGAGCTGCTCTCACCACGATACAAATTGTGGTGGAAGCCTTTGGGCCGCATGGAAAAGGCTCTTTCCTCCCTGGGTGTGGGGATGCTGGCCGGGCACGCAGCGTGGCCAGGCACAGCCACAGCAGGGCGGTGTCATAAAATCGTTTGGTTGGAAAAGACCTTTGAGATCATTGAGTCCAACCATACCTGTCCACTGCTAAACCAGATCTCTGAGCACCTCATCTACCCACCTTTTAAATCCCTTCAGGGATGGGGACTCAGCCACTTCCCCAGGCAGCCCTTGGGCTGAGATCCAGCAGCTGAGCTGTCAAGCAGGGGCAGCTTCACCCTGTTTTGCTGCCGAAGGGCAGCGTTTGCTGGGATGGGGTAAACCTCAGCCCCAAGGTGGAAGCCAGCCCAAAGTGCATTTAGTGCAGGAGTGTTTGGCTGGCTGCAGCATTGCACTGATGGTGGGGCTGGGGACACGAGTGGGGCCCACGCTCAACCCACGCCTGCCCTTGCACCAGCCCAGCCACCCTGGCTGCCAGGGCTGAACCCCTGCCAAGGCAAAGGCACAGAGGAGAGGGAATGGGCAGCTGCAGCAGCAGCTGATCTTGATGCAAAGGGATGTGGGTCCTTGTACAAACACGCCTGTCAGCTGGGGGGATTGGCTGCATGTGCCATTGCTCAGCCGGGATGTCAGGAACTTCATGGGGAGGCTGATCTGGCTCAGCCTAACGTAGAGTGTGAGCAGTGAGTGACGGCAAAAACCGCATTGAAGAGAGCAGCAGGCTTGGGCTGGCTCCAGCCCACAGCTGCTGGGGATGACCAGTGTGGTGACGGTGGAGCATCTGGAGACTGGTGATGAGCATCACATTTCTACTGCAACCCCACTACATATCGCAATTGCATAATGTGCTTGTACTGCACTTTCAATACATTGCTTTATCACTCTGCTAAATCAAAATCCAATGTAACATCAAATGCATACAGAGAAGTAAATTTGGTCTTAACCACCAAACTGTCTTTGTGTAGATTATTGAAAAGAACACACTCAGAGGGTACCAGGCTCTGGCAGGCACTGGGTCAGGGCAGGGAGCATGAGTGAGGGCTCTGGTCAGGAGATTGCGCTGGTGCCCGTACAGTTAGGAGCAGGGTGCCCATGCCCACCCACGCCAGGCAGTGAGCAGAAATCCCAATGCTTCACCCTGGGATGAGGGCAGTTTTTCAGCCTTGCTTCAAACTGCAAGCTACCATCTCTAATCATGCTTAATCCCAACTGAAGATGGTTCCTTCAAAGCCACAGGCTCCTGGGTTGTTTATATGCTGTGCTCTGGAGCACACAGTGAGTTCCTGTACCTGTAAGGCCAACAGAGCTGCTCCAGTCTTAGCTTAGGATGTAAGGACAAAGGTAACTTAGGATGGAGATGACCTGGTAGCAGCTGGGTGGCTGGTGCTTTGCTTTGCTGCTGGCAGAGCTAGTTGCTGCTCTGCACCATCAGTACCTGTCTGGCTGAATGCACCAAGCATGCTTTGTGTTGTGTGTCTGTAGGAGAGATTCCCCTGGGGTCAAGCAAGCTGAAATGTTCACTCACCTCCTCATCTCCACACCTCCCACAGCCTTGGAAACAAGTCTGTCGCTTCTTTCATATGCTGCTCTGAATGCCAAAATCTGGAGACAAGAGTGATCAGGCTGGGAGAGGTGGGTGTGGGATCATGAACATGATGGGATATGATCTGGAATATCTCATTGGCACATCCAAATGCCAATTCTGGGTTTTGCTAATTACTGCGCTTCGCCCCTCCCAGTCCTAATGGAGCTGTGAACCAGCCAAACAGTGGCCTTGGGCTTCAGCAGCAACTAACAGCATTAGTACCTTATCAACATTCTTCTCCATGCTGAATTCCATGCTCAAACTAAAAACCAGTGCTTTCTAGCTACTAAGAAGAAAATTAATTCTATCCTAGCAAAACCAGGACACATAGTTTCCTTAAGGAAAAGAGAAAGGTGGCTGTGAAATTGTGTTGCAGTGGCTGGAGGAATGCAACACCTTTAAAGCTTCTCAGAAATCCCACTTGGAATGCATGCATCTTAGATACGACCCCTGAGCACCTTCCTGCTGCAAGGTGGAAAGGGTCGAGAAGGCTGTTTTCTGGTTGAATGTCAGGCATGCTCACGAGCTCTCTGCAGCAGGACCCTAAACAGTGCGAGCCCATCACTGCGCTATCCAGCCACGCTCTTCAGGACAGGAGCACCTTGTTCCTTACTGTCTTCGGTGAGGGGCTTGGCTGTGGGCTTGCAAAGTTTTCTTCCAAGAATAAAGCCCCTTGCCAGCATCACCCTGCTTACCTGGAGGAGCTTGGTCGAAAGGAGCAGCTTTCCTCAGAGTCGCGTGCAGCTGCAGCAATCCTTCCCAGTCTGCTGTCAGCAAGCAGGTGAGGGGCCTGCTCTTCCTCAGATGGGAACTGAGCCCTTTGGGCACCCAAGGGAGTCTTCTTTGGTTGGGAGCCATGGGTGCAGAGTTGACCAGAGAACAGGGGTATTCTCTTAGGGATCGCTCAGGCTCCCTCTTCCAGGATTGCAGTTTTTGGAACTGTCTCTGCTCTGGGGTTGCCAGCTGGCACCGGCTGGGCATCGGAGAATGGGTGGTGAGCAACTGCACTGTGCTTCACTCATCTGTATATTCTGTTATTATGAGTACCATTTAATTTTAATTAGTAAATTGTTTTTATCTCAACCTGTGAGTCTCCTTGCCCTTCTCCTTCCAATTCTCTCCCCTACTCCCTGGGCAGGGGCAGGACAGTGAGAGAGCGACTGTGTCTGGCTGCAGCCAAAGGAGTGAAACCACCACACAAGGTCATCCGGACACGCTGCACTCAAACAGGGTATGGTAAGCAGAACACAGGAGCAATCCAAGGAGGACAAGGTCACTGATTGTGTCACCCACTGGAGCAGAAACTTGCTGGGCTGGGATGGACTGGGAGGGTGATGTGGGTCCCAGCTCCCATTTACAGAAGTGGGACAATTGCTGCAGGAGATGGAACCCCTAAAGCCCCTGAAACGCATTCATCCAGCCTCTCCTGGCAGCTAAAGGCTTGGCATCTGCTTAGGATTCCCTTTGCACTAACATGTGACATTGCATATCTGGGAAAAAAAGAACCAGGAGGGGAGCTGAGGCTGGAAATGGTGGTGGGGTTAGAGAACCTCCCAGCATGAATTCCAGTTTGCAACCCACTTCAGAACTGCGCCCAGAATTAGTGACAGATACAAAGGCAAAGCTGGAGATGCCAAGGGAGCCATGCAGGGCTTTTTTGCTTTTCTTTAGACATCGCAAGAACAGAAACATCATGCCTTGGCACCAGTTCAACATGACCTTTTAACACGAGCTCGGCCGTGGGCTGGCAGCAGTTCCCGTGGCAGCGCTGGGTCTCTGCTGATTGCACAATTACCTCTCCTCCCTTCCTGGCTCTGCGCTGGGAGCTGAAGTGCCAAACTGCCTGGCCTCTTGCTGTGATCCCAGGAGCCAGGCTTCAAGGACAGGTGCTGCTGTAGCAGCAGCTCCCTTATCACACATGCTGGCTAGAGAAATACACGACAGTCCTGACACTGCACGTATTTTCTGAACAGGGATCAAACACCATCCACTGCCTGCCAAGCGCTGCAGTGATGTGACGGCAGGACCCGCAGCCCCTAGCCCCACTGTAGCACTGTGTACTCCGCCACATGTCCAGGGCACCCCGTTCTCAAATGAAACGAGCACAACACATTCACTGCTTCTCTTTAATGGCTATCAGTGCCAGCACCGCAGGCACTACAGCTGCAGCGGCGATGAGGCACAGGTCTGCGAGGCTTCTCTAGGGGATGGGAACCCCAGGTCCTGCCACCCTGCAGGAGTGGGGCTCCAGTTGTCACAGCAGCAGCTCGTGGGGCATGGGCTCCCCTCGCAGCCCGGCCAGCAGGTTGTTGGCTGCCAGCACTGCCATGGTGCTCCTCGTGGCATAGGTGGCGCTCCCGATGTGCGGCAGAATCACTGCAGGGGACAGGAGGGTTACTCGCTTGTTTCTTACCTTTGCTGACCTCCTACAGCCTCTTTCAGGGGTCCTCCCACGGGGGGCCAACCCAGGTCCTGCACTAGCTGCCACTCCTCCAGGAGCTCACACTGGACATGCAGCATGAAACAAAATCATTAGCCACTGAGGACTGGAAAAGACATCTGATAAATGGCTAAGTGAGTTATTAGAAAAATAGTCCTCCAGGCCAAAGACAGTCAGCCAAGAGTGGATCCTCCTTTCTGCATTCAAGCTTGATACTCACCTTCCTGCATGAACTCAAGAGTTGGTGGTAGATGTAAAATACTATCGCTGCAGCAGATGAACACACAGTGAAATTCATACACTGTTGCCTGACTGCCACACAGCTTTAGGAGGTTCTGCTCACCAACAAGTGTGAACCAACGCATATATGGGCAAGAGCCTGAAGACTGTTGTGAAACATCATGGTTTACAGATCCCTGGGTGCACTGGAAAGGCAAGTATGGAGGCAAACAGCCCCTGCCAAAGAGAGCTGGCACGCTGGAGCACAGTCAGGGCAGGGATTTTTATCCACCTATGTGAAAAGGCTCCTTTCACACCATGCAAAGGAATGAGCCAAAGCTGCTTTAATGGTAAATTATTGTAACATTAGTAGTGGAGAGTACTTGCCCAAGGTTCGGATAAAAGCCTGTCCTACCATCTGTGCTTTGTAACAGAGAGCACCTACAGGCAATGCAGAAGCCTGAGCACCTGACAGGCAGCTGCCCCAGGGGAAGAAGGCTCTCCCCAGGACTGTGGGACCACAGCTGACAACCACCCTGGGCTCCTTGTTCACTGTGAAAGTAATGTCAACACTTCTTCCTTCTCTACTTATGCCGTGTTCCCCTAGCTGCTGAAACTATTTGGCAGTTTTGGGTGACATCTGTGAATAGTTTCAGAACCATCAAAGCCTCATTTCTGCAAAAATAAACACACAGGCATTTATTTTTGTCTTGCTTGGTGTTGTTCCAGAACTCCAAGATCTCTGAAGCCCTGCAAATGTTTCCAAAAAGTCTGCTTCTGTCAATTCTCACACTGCCTACTATGGGAACCAAAGCAAATAAATAAAAAATAGTTTTTAGCAAAAAAGATAATAAAAACAACAGCTATGAACTTGTATTTCAGAAACAGACACCCAGTCATGGGCAGATCCAGATTTTCAAAAAGGTTTGTGGGTTTTTGGTTTTTTTTTTTTGGAAGAGCCTTTTCCTACTCCGAAAACCTCCTTCCACGAGAGAGGACATCCTACTGCTGCCTGCGCAGCCGCTTCGCTACTTTGCCCACGCAAGTGAAGATGAACACACCAGATCTCGTGCTCGGGGTGCACCTTGAGCAGCCAGGGCATGTGACGACGTGAAAGGAAGCTGCTCTGGCCTGGCTTCTGCCATCAGCTCTGAGCAGGGCCAGCCAGCCTGGCAAAGCCAAGCGTTCGGGCAGGAACAGGCACCCTGCCACTGCACCAGCGACAGGGTCACACATGTTTTGGTTCTAACTAGAAAGCAGAGCCTTCTCTGTGTTGCATTTCTGTCTCTTCTGCCTTGGAGTCAGTAACTGCCCTGACCCACACGATCCCTGTCTGGAGCAGGAGGGAAAGCTCCTGGCCCTGCTTTAGAGGGAATGGGCCAAGTGACTCACTGAAAGCCACATGAGGGAAGGCAATGACCGCACCAGCCGCCGTCCCTAACTTGTCCCAGGCCACCAGCCAGCCTGTAGTGCCTGCGAGGATGGAGCAGCAGTAGTGCTTGGTAAGGCCATGGGAAACAGCCCCTGCACAGTCTGCAACAACGAGGATCCCAGGAAAACACAGAGGGCTGCTGGTGTTCTGCACTAAAACATCGTCCTGCCCCATGTGGCAGGTCCCACCAAGCTCTTGGGAAAGCACCAGTGAAACTAATAGTGACCAACTACTGCCCCTGGTTGCAGGCACTCCTGCCTCCACCCCAGCAGCCTGACCATGCTGAAGCCCAAGAGTGGCTGAGCAAGCCCCTTTCTAACCAGCCTTCCTCATTCGACATAACCTCTGCCAGAGATGACATGCACTGTTCCTGGGACCAGCACCTGCCTGATGCCAATCACTATCCAGAAAACAGGTTGCCTGAGCTCACTGGGCTCCACTTCCCCATGAAAGCTGCCTTGGGTCATTGAGGGGACACAGCCAGACCATCTGCAAAGAAACCCCTGCTCATCCCATAGCTTGAGCACTTGCTGGGCTCTGCAGCTCATGGCTGTCTACTGACATCCGCTGGGGAACGTGGATGTCAGGACAGGGACAGCACTTCAATGAACTGTGCTTCCGAGCAGGCGTGCTGACTGTGCCTGGCAGCCCAGGCTCACCATGGATG